ATGCTAAAGCTGCGATGCATGTCATTGATAAGATTTTAATCATAGAAATGCGAAATGCTAGAACCAAAAGTGGTAGTCGTTTGAGTGCTTCTACAAAAGTATGAATAAAAATATGATACAAAAATATGGTTATTGTAATTGTATCATCAACTCCAGCAAAAAATTATCTTTGTACTTGAATATTAAATAAAAGCTAAATTTGTAAGATTTTTTTCTGTCATTCATTTTTTTGTGATTTTTCATTTTTATGCATAAAATAATTATTCATAATTATAAATGTGTATCTTAACGCAGCGATAGAACTGCCTCCATTTCCCTCCTCCATGAAATACCGACGCAAAGTTTCAATGCATTTCCTCGCATCCTGTGTTGCCACTTGCACCGACTTATTAGTGGCATCATCTACTCATCATCATCATCACTATCACTTGGTCTTCCGATGCTGTCGTGTGTTTTGCTGTAACTCGAGCAACGATTGCAGCGTCGTAATTTTCATTTTCATCGTAGCATTGAAGCTCGTTTTCGATGGATAAAAAGTCTTCGCAATTTTGTACTGTTGAAGTTCCACATATCCGTCATCATTTTCACTTTAAATGAGCATGTCCACATCTATCTCCAAAACCAAGTGCTTAAAGCCACAGTGAGAAAAACTGTTCTGAGTTGTCTCACTGCTCACTTTTCGCCAGCTGTCGGCCGCAAATGTAACTGCTTGTACGATGCAGTTACATTTGCGGCCGACAGCAATGTAACTACATCGTACATGTACCTTTGCACTGACTTCGCTGGCTTTTGACCATGAAGTCAGCAAACTTTCTTCAATTGCTTCAAGGATGTACCTTGCCAACGTTGCACGATAAAAGGGTCTTCAAATTTTTGATGATGCCCATGTTCATTGGCTGGACCAAAGTTGTGGTCCTGGGAGGTAGAAATTCCATTTGGATGTTCTTCAAGCAACCTAAATGAGGATGTGCTGCACAATTGTGAAGAAGCAGCAGCAATTTTCCCGACTGGCGTTATAGCTCTCTGTCCCAATCCTTCAGCCATTCTTTAAAAAGTTCAGAGGTCATTCACGCATTTCTGTTCGCACGATACAGAACTAGTAAACTGTCCATCCTAAGGCTTTTAAAGCAGCGAGGCTTAGTGCTTTTTTAGTATAACCAACAGCTTCCTCTCGTCCATTCCTGACATTTTTGAGCAGCATAAGACAGTTACGCAATCCATCGCTATTTTGGAGCCAGAGCGTGCAACATATTTGTACCTTAATGAGCCGTCCTGTGTAGCATGATAATGCAGCCCAGTTTCATCAACAATGTAGATATCATCTGCTGAAAAATTTTCAAGAAGCTCGGGCAGTTTTGTTGATTTCCATTCTTCAGCATCTGTACTATCAGCACTTTCTTTCTCGCCATGTTCTTTCTTGAAATTTATGTTATGTCTAGATTTCCATCGAGACAACCAACCATCCATAGCTTTAAAGTCATCGTGGCCCAGCGTTTTAGCGAGTTCTTCAGCTTTGCATTTTAACATTGGGTCGCTTACTCTCACAGCTTGTCCAGTAACAATGGCAAACCATTCATTAAGGGCCTCATCGACGTTTGAATCCTTGCCTTCACGCTTCCATTTTTTGGAAAATGGAACTCTTCGTCCTTTACATTGTGCCCATTCTTCTGGCAGCTCATTCTCTTGTTTTATCAAGCGCGAAATTGTAGTCTTTGCCAATCCAATAATTTCCACCAACCGACGCTGACTAGTGTTTTGTGGTTGTTGCTTCATCTTATCCAGGAAACCAATTTTTTCAGCTAACGTCAAGTCCCACCGTGGCATTTTGGCAGGGAAGACAAGACACGCGCACAGTTCACTGACTAAAATGGTCTGAAGAAACCGTGGTGTTTCAGGGTCAAGATGTTGAGGTCAAGAGCCAGATAAAATGCTTGCCATTCAAAGCTTTTGTTACTAAAATCATCCCAAAAGTGTGGTGAATTGATAGCTTTCTCATGTAAACTTTAAAATCATGATCGACAGACGGGAATTCCTTTCAGATGAAGCCGGACACTCTACTGTTCATTTCCTCGAAAATCGGAGACGCAGTGGGACCAATAACCTCGCTGGCGGCTACTGGTGGCTCTGTTTTAAGAAAGGTCAAAGAAAATGGTGCACGTGTTCACCTTCGTCTGGTTTTGCTCTTGTCATGCACTTTAAGGAATTCCTGACTTTTGATAGGAATTTCCTGACTTCTTGGGGAGCGCAGCTACAGATCCTCCTATATGTCGCGGACCACCTGTACATCCGCTGTATGCGGGCGACTTGTGGCTTCTGTTTCTTATTCGCTCTCACGTTTTTTGGACCGATTAAACGGAATTTTGGTTGAAATAAGCGAGTAATGTTAGGCTTATGTACATAGGATTTGTTTCGGTTCTTTTGGATTCAGTCCAAAAAAGTGGCTGGTCCGATTATCCGGTGGTCCAATTAACCGGATTCGACTGTACTTCCTAATCCACACACACACACCACAAGCCCTTACGAATTTACCGCAATCATGCAAACGGTTACGTCATAGGGTTTCCATAACATTCAACTACTTGGGCTACCATAAATGAAACAACAACTTGGTGATAAATGAAACTACAACTTCGCGATAATACAAAGGGTACTCTTCTCTCTACTGTAACCGATGTTGAGTAGGATTTAAATCAAGGCTTCTGGGTAGCCGATTTATGACAGAGAAGTTGGATGAATTCAGTAGCCAACCGGAACGTGTGAGAGGTGCAGCTATCTTGCTAGAATACTGCATTTCCGTGTTTAACAATAGGACAGCATAAATGAATGGAGATGATCGCTTAGCAACTCTATGTACCAAATCATGTTTAGGAAGGTTGGTACAGGTACCAAAGATCCTAAGCATTGCCAGGAGAAAAACCCCAGACCATGATTGAACCATCATGGCCTTGCACATTTCCAACCTGGCATGCAGGATCCATGGCTTCATGAGCCTGATGCCATATTGTCAGCCTTCCATATATGTTAAGCAGTTGGAATCGAGACTGATCAATCACTCCATGCTACTTGTTTCTAATCCCCTAAAGTCGATTCTCTGTGTTTTCTTGCCCGGACGAGACATGCAGTTCGATGGCATGCATTGAGAAATGGTACTCTCAAAAGCTCTTGAAGCCAATTTGGTGAAGCAAGCATTGCACGGTCCATTTATTCGCTATGTGACTGCTGCCCCGATTCAGTTGGGTGGTAATTTGAGCTGATGTTTGGCTTCTCAGCCTATGTATAATACACCTGAGCCGCCTCACATCGTGCCCATTCAAGGCTAACTGATGTTTGTAATTTTTCTGACTGTTAGTTTTTTTCTCACCATCCATATTATATTCTCAGTATACTCTCGATACTGTCAACATTGAAAATACTAGTCCTCTGACAATTTTGGAAACTGAATGGCCCATGCATCAAGTGCCTACTATTTGTTCACGATTGAAGGTGTCTAAATCAGAAGCTTTACCTCATATTAACAGCAGCCATAGTACTAGCTATATATGCAGTTACTACAATTACTTCATGTAAGCATAAATGCAATGCATTGCTACACAATTTACATAACCATGTTTATCCCTAATTCAGTGGCACTTTAATGTATTAGCAAAGCAAACTTTTTGAATTAGAGAACTCACACTGGAAAAGTAAAACATTATTTTATTTTTTTTAAATTCTGCTCAGAATTTAGTACAGTCAAAAGTCGTTAATTCGGACACCCATAATCCGGAATGATCTATAATCCGGACCTCAAAGCTACAAACTTTCTGCGCATGCGTCGCTTTCACGCATGCGCACAGGCGTTTACGAGAGCGCGTAAGACCCTTATGGCTGCGAATATGTTTGTGCGCATGCGCGTTTAATGTGTAACGGAGTTATACGCTAAGCTAAAGTTATCTAATTCAGTTAATGTTGCAGATTGCGTTGTTCCTTAATCTTCGAATTGGATCCGGCTTATTATTTTTTGCAGACTGTTAGAGCAATTTTATAAAAGTAAGCTTGAACTTTCGATTATGTCAAATAGAATTTCGGATATATATTTACTACAAAGCGAAAGTATGTTTTGAAATCCGAAATCTGTTTATCAATTTCACGCTGCTCTGCGGCAGAGGGGGGGGGCAGAAACGTCAGTATTAGATTATGATAGATTAGAAAGATTATGTCAAATAGAATTTCCAATATATATTTACTAATATGTAATTTGTATCTACAAAGCGAAAGTATGTTTTGAAATCCGAAATCTGTTTATCAATTTCACGCCGCGGATTGGAAGTTGATCTGTCAACACTATCCTTATCTTCAGAGCAGGTGTTTTTATTTTATCTGGATTATAATTCCGTACTAAGTTTAGTATTTCATCTCGATGTACTCCGTCTTTGATATGATTTAAATCAAGTTCCTCGTCATTATAATTCGCTTCCGATAGTGAAGAAAGTGACCCAGAGGTTATTGAAAACGAAAACATTTCGATTGACAAATTAGTCGGTATTCTCAACACAGCAATTATAGAACTTGAACAGCGGAACTTTGTAACTAAACAAGAAATTATGTCTGTTTAATAGAATTAAAGAGAAAGTATTATCACATGAAATGAAGCAACTTACATTGAAGGAAATGTTTAATAAAGTAAACAAATAAATATTAAGTTTTTTCTTTTTGTAAATTTTGATACCCTTTAGATCATAATTGTTCTTTATTTCATAAATTACGGTTTCATATTTTTAATTTTAGTATTTCTGCATGCGATCTTACGAGATTTAAACTGATGATCTATAATCCGGAAAAATCGATAATCCGGAATCGCCGAAGTCCAGACGAGTCCGGATTAACGACTTTTGACTGTATTTAGAAACTTGTAGGTAAAAAATTGTCATAATCTGTGCAGTTTCCTAGCTTTTGTTTGATAAACATTTTATGTTAGAATAGTTAAGTGTATATTTTAAAAATATGATTTTTTCCCCCAGGTCATTGATGACTCATGCATCTGTTCCTAAGGAACAAAGAGAACAGTTAGGAATAAGTGACAATTTGGTGAGACTGTCAGTAGGTATTGAAGAAGAGACTGATCTTATTGCAGATTTGAATCAAGCTTTACAAAAATCGGTGAGTGCCTGGTTTCTAATTTTCTCCCTCTCATTTTTGTAAACTATTAGACTGTATTTTTTGCTTTAGTATTCTGTGAGTTCAGTTAACTTATACATTCATAAATTTTGCAGTATAATGTCTTTATTGAGCTCAAAAACTGAAAAATGGGTGCTTAATAGCATTTTTATTTCACTGATCTCTTAGTATGTAGTCTACTTTTTTGCCATTATCCTTTTTTTTACGCCAAGGTTACAGCGTGTGCTTTGCATTATACAGCTGTTCTCTTATTTTCTCAGGTAATATAGCAAGATTTCAGCATAAATATGCTGAAAGTTAATTCATAATTTGCACACAAAAGATACTGACATTAAGCAAAGTCCAAATACATGTCTGTGTGACACACACACGCACATGTACTTACATACATACATGCATTTATATGTATTGTTACGAATTGTACAGAGCGGTAAGATAGCTTCCCCGCAAAGCAGGTTTAGGGTTTCCATAAAATGGCAAGGGAAGGCAGGTCGGTCAGCAAGTGCCAAGTGGGTCTTCGATAGCAAAGAAAGAGCCTCTTAGTGTATCGCAGTTAGTGCATCGTCGAGAGAGTGTGTTGAGCTCTGGGAACGACTGAACTGAGGAGTCAGGAGCTGTACTCTAGTGTATCAAGTGCATCGCGAGTTGTAGCGTGGAGAGTCTCGAGAGTACATGGAGTTCCGAGAACAACTGATCAGAGTCAGGAGCTGTACTCGGTTGCTTTGCAGTGAAGCTGTCTCCACCGTTATAGCATGATAACCTGGAGGCTGTGTCACTGATTGTGTCAGTTTATAGTAGTTCTTTGACGACTGTGATGTGATTTTGGAGCTGTCCTGATTAATACTGGCCAATAAAGTCTGTTTCGGTACTTCATCAAGTGTTGTTATTCACTCCAAATTCGCACGAACTCGTACTTACGAACGTAAAGAAGAAGTAAAACGTAGCAATATATATATATATATAATAAAAAGACTTGAAAATATTTATCTTGTAGAAAAATTGATCATAAAGATACAGAGAAATACTGATGGCACGTAGATAGCATAAAAGTAGACTTTTGAATTTGTAGTGAACAACAAGAATGTGTTTGCATGGAAAGTTTATCCATAATTAATAGGAAATTGGCAGCCAAGGTAGATTAAATCATAATTTTTATTTCAGTAAACATATTGAGGCCATAAACAATTTGGCACCTGTTTCAAAATGTTTGCATTTTTAATGGCTTTACAGTAAGAAGAGAGCAGCAGTCCAGCTAGGTCAAAGTATAGAAAGGAAAAACAGTTGTGATCAGAATGAAATCTTAATTTAGAATGAGTTAGTTTTGGTTCCCCATGCATCTGATTGAATAATCAGTACTGCTGTAAAATTATTATTGGCTGTTTGAATTTTAGTTCCAGTTATGTCACCAGTGTTATTCAAGAGTCATATGACATGGTGTTGGCAACCGCCGTTGATTTCCCTAGCACATGCGCATGATAAGCGAGTTCTCTGCTGCGTAATACTTATACTTAGTTAATAGGTAGTTAGCCAAAGTCAATGGTGAGTATTGCATGTAAGCGAGAAGGGCTAAGCGCTGTGTAATATCATGTTTCTACTCTGCTGTTCAACGTCTTCGTAGTTTAAATAAATGTTTGTCATGTATATGGAAGACGTCATTTTATTCTTCATAGGTTATGGGCCCAGATAGCGCTTAACTGTGCAGTGCAACTACCATTGTTAAATTCTTTCGGCAAGCCAAGCTGCGTCGACTGAAATGAAAATGGCGACGACTAATACAGTGTCAATTGAAAAGCTAAACAAGGACAACTTTGATACGTGGAAGTTGCAAATGGAAGCAATACTGATTAAAAATGATCATTGGGACTATGTAACTGGGAAAATTCCGAAACCAGAACCTGGTGATGAAGAATTTGCTAAATGGAAAACTACTGACCAAAAAGCACGAGCGGATATAATCCTATCCATCTTACCCAGTGAACTTCCACAAGTAAAGAATTGTGTAACATCTCACGAACTGTGGCGTAAATTGCATTCTATTTACGAATCGAAGGGACCAGCTAGAAAGGCCACAATTCTAAAAAAATTGCTTTTTACAAAAATGAGTGATTCTAAACAAATGACTGTTCATCTAAATGATTTTTTCATTCTTGTGGACAAACTTGAAAGAAATGGAAATAAACATTGCGGATGATTTGCTTACAATATTGCTTTTATATAGCATACCGGACTCTTATGAAAGCTTTCGAATAGCAATCGAATCTCGTGATGAACTGCCTTCTCCAGAAATGCTGAAAATTAAACTGTTGGAAGAAGCTAACGCTCGCAAAAATAAAGATTCATCGTTTTCTGAACCACAACATGCGTTCTATTCGAAAGATCGGAAGTATACTCAACGACCGGTTCCTAAACCGAAACCAGATAAGTCTGCAAACCGAAGACAGTATCCAGTTAACTACAGATGCAACTTCTGCCATATCTATGGGCATAGAGCATCGGAATGTAGGAAGAAAAGTAAAGAAACTAAAAGCAAACGCCTCAGTGAAACTGCGATGTCTGCAGAAATTCGGAATTCCTTGGAGCGAGAAAAAGCCGTAGCATGCACTAATAGTAATTCTAAAGACATTTTTTGTCTGGATAGTGGTGCAACATCGCATATGTGTAACAGCAAGGAACTGTTTCAAGAAATTCACGAGGTAGGTGATACTTATGTTAAATTAGCTGCTGATAAAACTGTTAAAGCTATTGGAAAAGGAACTGTTAAATTTAAAGTTCGCATAGGTTCTAAAACTGAAAATATCAAACTCAAAAATGTATTGTGTGTACCTGATTTGAAAAATAATTTAATCTCAGTGTCTAAAGTAACTGAAAATAATCTTTCAGTAATTTTCAAAGAAAAAAATGTGCTCAAATAATTAATTCTAATAACGAAACAGTAATTTTAGCTAAACGCGAAAATGATCTTTATTTTGTCATGCCAATATTTGAATCTGTATCAATTGCTAAAGAAATAGATCAGTGGCATATAAGATTTGGCCATTTAAATGAAAATGATCTTAAAAAACTTCAAATAAATAACATGGTTAGAGGTCTTTCTTTTTCTCAAAATGACTCTCTTTCTACTTGTAAGGTATGCATTCAGGGTAAACAAACCGCAACCCCTCTTCCCAAAGAATCTGAATATAGAAGTACTGAATTGTTGAATCTAATTCATTCTGATTTGTGTGGTCCCATGAGAACTGAATCAATCGGTGGATCATTTTATTTCGCAACATTTATCGATGATAAATCTCGATATGTTCGTGTTTATTTTCTGAAATCTAAGGATGAGGTTAAAGAAGCTTTCAGAAATTTTAAAGCATCTTTTGAAAATAAACTTAACTCTAAAATCAGAATCCTGCGAACCGATAACGGGCTAGAATATTTAGGGAAAGACTTTAATAAATTTCTTAATAATGCGGGAATAAAACACGAAATGAGCACTCCTTACACGCCAGCCCAGAATGGCGTCGCCGAAAGATTAAATCGCACTTTAGTTTCAATGGCGCGATGTTTGTTATTGCAATCCAATCTGCCTCAGAAATTCTGGGCCGAAGCCGTCAATACGGCTGCTTACATTCGAAATCGCTGCCCAACGCGAGGTTTAAAAAACGAAATAAAAACACCTTACGAAGTGATGTTTGGCAGAGTACCTGCTGTCTCTCACTTCAGAACCTTTGGCCAAAAAGCATTTTCGCTAAATAAAAGGCCAGGAATAGGCAAATTTGATATTCGATCTAAAGAATGTATTTTTATTGGCTATTCTGATGAATCAAAAGCGTATAGACTTTGGGATCCCGAGGCACGTAAAGTGATAATAAGCAGAGACGTAAAATTTATTAATGAGTTTGAAAACTGCTGTAGTTATGACTCAGAGCAAGAAATAAATCTGCCTTTCGCTCCGGAGGAAAAAATTATAAATAAAACATGTTGTGAAAAATCATCACCTCTGGACGGTAGCGAGTCGCCACTTAAATCTGAAGCTGAACTGGAAAGCGGAAGTGATTTAGATAGCGAATCAATGCATCCTATCCTGATTAAAAGAGGGCCTGGTCGACCCAAGAAACTAAAAACAGGTTTGCCAGGAAGGCCTAAAAAGGAATATCACTATACAGTTGTAAATAAAAATGAACAAACTCAAAATGTTGTTGAGGAAAGCATTAATCCTACGGTGCAAGAAGCATTAAATGGACCATATGCTGAAAATTGGCATAATGCCATGCTGTTAGAATATAACTCGCTTGTTCAAGAAAAGGCTTGGGAATTAGTAAAAAGACCTGAAAACAAGAAAGTTATTGGTAGCAAATGGGTTCTTAAAATATAATCACGACGGCACTATCGAAAAAATACAAAGCTAGGCTAGTTGCTAAAGGGTGCGCTCAAATCCCTGGTCTCGATTTCACTGAAAACGTTTCCCCTGTTGCTAGATTAAGTTCCATAAGAACAGTTTTAGCCTACGCAGTAGTAGAACACAATCTCAAAGGTTACCAATTAGATTTTGTAATGGCCTATGTAAATGGAAATTTAGATGAAGAAATCTACATGGAAATTCCCGAAGGTTTTCGCGATGAAACTAATTCAGATAAAGTGTGTCTTTTAAAGAGATCATTATACGGTCTTAAACAGTCAGGACGTCAGTGGTACAAAAAGTTGGATGAAAAATTGAAATCTATGAAATTTAAATCTCTTAATTCAGATAATTGTGTTTATATTAAAAAGACGCCTAACAGTGAAACTATTATAATCGTTTATGTAGACGATCTTATCGTTTTTACCGATTCTAAGCAAACGTATGAAACAATTCGCAATAGTTTAGCTTCTGCTTTCAAAATGAAAGACTTGGGGAAGTTACATTATTGCTTAGGCATAGAATTTCACCAAAATGAGAATTCAATTAAAATTTCTCAAAAGAAATACGTTGATGATATTTTAAATCGGTATAATATGCAAAATGCTAAATCCGTGTCTTCACCTATAGATAACAGCAAAAAATTATCAAAAGAGATGAGTCCTAAAAACGAAAACGAAATCGCTGACATGAAAAATGTTCCATTTAGAAATCTGATCGGATCACTAATGTACCTTTCAGTAGCTACTAGGCCAGATATCACATACGCCGTGAATTTCTGAAGTCAATATAACAACAATCCGGGAAAAGAACATTGGCATGCTGCGAAAAGAATACTTCGATATCTAAAGGGAACACAAAATCAAGGACTAATTTATACGAAAACGGGAAAACCACTCATCGCCTTTGTGGATGCAGATTGGGTATCAAATGTCGATGATAGAAAATCCTACACCGGTTTTGTATATATATTAAGTGGTTCAGCCATAACCTGGGAATCACGAAAACAACGCAGTGTAGCTCTATCTTCAACGGAGGCGGAATATATGGCTTTGTCTGAGGCCGCCAAAGAAACCGTCTACCTACGTCGTTTCCTGAAAGAGCTGGGTTATAACATAGAAACACCCAACAACAATATACTGCGACAATCAAGGAGCTCAGAAAATTACGAAGAACTCAGTGTTTCACTCCCGTACAAAGCACATAGACATTCGCCATCATTTTGTGCGTGAAGTATATGAACGCGGTGAATTAGATGTGCAGTACATACCTACCAGTGAAATGGGAGCTGATGTGTTAACCAAACCCCTGACTCCTGTTAAACATCAAAACTGTTGTACAATTATAGGATTGAATACTGTTTAATATGTATTTTGTTTTTGTTTTACTTTTCAGGAATAGGAGAATCAACGTCGAAAAGGGGTATGTTGGCAACCGCCGTTGATTTCCCTAGCGCATGCGCATGATAAGCAAGTTCTCTGCTGCGTAACACTTATACTTAGTTAATAGGTAGTTAGCCAAAGTCAATGGTGAGTATTGCATGTAAGCGAGAAGGGCTAAGCGCTGTGTAATATCATGTTTCTACTCTGCTGTTCAACGTCTTCGTAGTTTAAATAAATGTTTGTCATGTGTGTGGAAGACGTCATTTTATTCTTCACATGGATTAGTCTCAAAATGATGCAATGCAGAAAAAGATTATTTTAGAATACAAAGTTGGTATACCAAATTATAATTAAGCATCAAAGAGCTACTGCTAATTAGAATTATAATTTATCTTTTGCATATTTTTCTTACACATACTTACAAAGTGTACTTCATTTTTCTGTTTTTTCCACTGCCTAAAAAAAGTTTTTTGAAATGCATGTAAAGTAATGACAGAACACATTAAAATAATACAGTGAAATACATTACTCAGATGTGTTCAATTATTTTTTCTTTTGTTAACCATGTCCTGTTATGTTCTGCAGATTCCCCAGATTTATCACTCGTATCTTGTTTGATAGATTATCATTTAATTATATTGTTAATTATTAATTTAATTATTAATTATATTGTTAATTTAATTATAGTGTTAGAAGACTGCAGTTATTAATGGTCATTTTGAAAATTTCACCTTGCCTCCATACACAGACTTTACAATTAAAATTGCCTATAACTGTCTTCTAGCATTTCTTTTATTTTCATTAATGTATCATTGGCCATTTTCCACTGTTTTATCCCCTCCCAAAGAAAAATGGTTTTTGCTTTTGAACTAGTTTCACTAGAAATAGTAACTTTCTTGCTGATCTTTTGTGGATTATTCTAAATTGCCAGAATCTTTTATTTTCAAATGTATGAGACTTAATGTAGTGTGTAGTACATTTGCAGTACCTTTTTAAGTAGTACAGTATGCTTGTATAATGTTGCTAACATCTTGCAATGAGCTATTTATGAGTTAAACTTGACTGTAATTATATATACACTATAAATATCATGGCAGCTGGCAGCCGAGTGGAAAAGTCACTGAACACTAAACTAAACCTGCACTAAACTAGAAGTTTAGTGCAGGGTTCGAATTCCAGTGGATGAATTGGCTGCATGGGCAAATTCATGGTGTTCTCCATGTGTCTTGTATATACAAATCAGTTTCCCTTAGAAAATACTCCACAATGGCATCCTCCATCCTCCCTTAAGCCCTTCCCTTCACAATGACATCCATTCCTTGAGTGCTTCCATAATCAAATATTTCAAACCAAACTATAAATATTATGTTTTATCTAACATTTACTGTTCTTTATAATTTCCATTGTCAGCCCTTTTTCCATTGTCTGTCTTTATGTCATAGGTATAGAGTCATAGTCATATTAGTTATAGGTATGGAGATGCTATTTTATATTAAAAAGAAATGAACCACTTTTCCCTGTATCTACAGATAACATACATATTAAATTCTGTTTGATCATATCTTTCTTAAAATCAGTTTATTGCAAATTCAATTATGCATTTAATAAAAAAGTAGCATTTTGCCTTAAACATATATATCTCTTTTTTGTATATTAAAATATGCATATTTACTCTTTTCAGCAAAAGCCATAATGTGTTCAAGCAAGAAGGACTTGTAAAATGCAATTGTAATTAGGCAAAGAATTATATTTTGAAGGATGAATAGATTTGATCTGAAGAATTTAGAAAAAAAAAAAAAAAAAATTATGTAATTCTTACATTCCTTGTAAATTTTAATGCTTTATTTCCATGAAATAAATTTTCTATTCCTTATTTTATTTATTAAAATAAGTGCAATTGTAATTTCATTTCTGATTTTATGTAAATTACAGCTTTTAATTTTTTAATGCTTTATTACCATGTAATATGTAACAGAATAAAAGTGTCTAATTTCAGTTAATTTTCATGTGCTCATTCTTTACGAACATCTACTAGTATGCAAATTAAATCCATTTCTGATAAACTCCCCCCCCCCTTCTAAAATATTTTCAAGTAATTGGTTTATAATAGTTTATATTATTTGCTGAAAGAAGAAATTAACTCTGATATGCAGTTTTTCTAATATAATGGTATATTTCTTTTGGGGGGGAGGGTAAGAAATGTGATACCGTACAAAGTTCAAAATCTGGACTTGCAATATCCAGATTGATCTAAAATCAAGACCACCAGCAACTTTCTTCTTTTCTAGAACTTTTTTGTGTGCTTAATGCTTCATGAATATGCAGTTGATATTTTTCATAATAAACCATGTGGAGGGTTCTGACTTTTGATTTCTCTTCAATACTAAATAAAACACCCCCATATTGAATAAATGCAATTATTTATTACTATAAATCTGTATGACCAATAATTTGGCATAAATCTCAAACCGAAACATTTTTTTATGAAACACTGCTATTTTAACCAACTAAAAATCCATGATGCCAACCTCACAAAGCATTTTTAATATTTTTTGTTTTCATTACCCCATGACTATCAACACATGGCAACTTGAGAAATGACTCATACAGCAATGTCTAAAACACTTTTTTTTAAATAGTAGTCATTGAATACCAAATAGCATATTCAGAATAACTAACTTGCTATTCAGGTAAGCTTAGGGTCTGTGCCAGAGTCAGTGTAGCCCATCAGGCAGCAAAATTTTTAGAATTTAGAGATATACCAAGCAACAAAAGGGATGGCAAAATCTTTAGGGAAGGCACTGGGATGCAAAATTTTTAGAATTTAAGGAAGCATTAGGCAGTGGAATCAGGATTTGCAGAGATTGCATCAGGTAGAAAATGTCTAGTGCTGTCTCTGGATGTGCCTTATGTATATGCAGGAAGTTATTTATTTGGGACTCTGATAAGCCTTAAGCATATGCAGGAAGTAGATGCAAGTACAAAAAATAACTAAACTAATATAATTCTGGCCCAATTTCCTCAATACGTGATAGAAAGCAGACAAAATTTAAAGGAACAACATGCCTTTAGTTGCCAATTTTATGATATATTGCCAATAGTGTATAGCAGATGCTATTTAAACTTTATGATGACAGCGGCTACTCTGAAGCTTTTCCGATATCACTAAGAAAGTGAAATTTTCCAATTAATTGAATTTGTCAAGGAATGTGGTGAAGTGGTAATAAATAAAGATGATATAACAGAAGTGGTGTCCATTGTGATGACAGTGCTTCAATAATTAGTTAACTAACAGACAGCAAAATCTGTAGTATGGTATTACGTATTTCCGGAGTCATTCTGACTAGGGGGCGCTGCGTTCGTCCTAATAGTCAGTGGCAGGCAGGATACTAAAGCTGTAAGACGTGGAAGGCAGAGATGCCTAATAATATATCTCTAATTGATTGAAATTTTCGTATATTTTCTCGTAAATAAATGTTGTTATTGTTAACAAAACCTCTTATTATCTCTTGGATGCACCTTTAGTCTCACAGAACCATTAGATGCAAAATTGGTGCATCTTGTCCGCGAATGTGGAATATCGGAAGCAATTAGTCATCATTACTGGATTATATTTCTGAGAAGTTTGGATACTTTACGCACGCTTTTGGATACGTAACATTGCATACTGGACTGTGGGGGTAAGACCTTTTGAACTCACAAATTCGGAGTTAATATGGATAAGCTTTCGAAAATAATTGAAAAAAGAAGTAACGTTCGCGCTAGTGTTACTAAACTAGTTAAAAGAGTGCAGAAGCTTGATGAAGACGTAAGTTCATTATCAGAACTACTGGAACTATTAGAAACGAAAGAGCAGATCTTGAAAAGCCATGATTTAGAGGTGGAAGCACTCATAGACGATCCGGAAAAATTTAAAAGCGAATTAAAAGCTTCGGAAGAATACGATGACAAAATATTGTTGGCTAAGATTAAACTAAAAAGCAAAATTAAAGAATTAGCAGCAGAAAAATGTTCAGCGGACTTCTTCAGTTCTTAACACATCTAGTGTTTCGGAAAACACTGTTACGGCTTTAAAATTACCAAAGTTAGAAATTTCGCGATTCTCTGGTGATTCTGGCAAATTTATGGAATTCTTAAACTGTTTTGATAGCGCAATCGGTTCAAACAATTCACTTACGAAAATTGAAAAATTCCAATATTTAAAATCTTTTCTTTCTGGTCCTGCATATAACGTAGTTGCGGGTTTTGAATTGAATGAGAAAAACTATGACTCATGTCTTCAGCTTTTAAAACAAAGATATGGTAGAACTGATTCTATTATAAATTCTTACATGACTAAATTATTAAGCTTAGAACCCGTGAGAAGTTCGTCTAATGTTAAGGGTTTGCGTAAATTATACGATGAAATAGAAGTTAATATAAGAAATTTGCGTTCATTAAATGTAACGGAGGGTTCATATGGGCATTTATTGAATCCAATATTATTGAAGTTGCTACCACAAGATTTGGTGTTAGATTTTCACCGAAAACGAAACAGGGAAGTGAATTGTGAGGTTTCGGAAATTATTACGTTTTTGAGGAATGAAGTCGAATCTAGGGAAATTGTCGAAACTGTGATGAGCCCCCTAAAAGGTTACGAAACAAAACGATCCTTTTCCCAAAATTATCAAAGTGGTCAAACTTATCAGAAAAACTATTCAAAGCCTAAAAATTTATCAACCGCTTCAGCGTTAAATACACAAATAAAAAATGCTTGTTTATTCTGTGACGGTCATCACGATTCCGTAAGTTGTAAAAAATTGGATGTAGAACAAAAAATAAATAAGCTTAGGACTGAAGCTAGATGCTGGTGTTGTTTCCAGAAATATCACAGGTCTCGCGTATGCAGGGAAAAAATATGGTGTAAAAATTGTTTAAGCAGTTTTCATCATGAGTCAGTGTGTAGAAAAAATAAACCCGTTAATGTTACTTTGAAAGGTTGTGAGAAGCAAGTGGAAAGCGCGAAACTGTTTTGAATGACTCACAATCTAAATCTAATAAAAGCGCCGAGAATATTTCTGTGTGTCTCATAGTAATATATGTACCAAAAATAAGCCCTTTTTACAAACATGTACAGTTTTAGCTTGTTCGGATAAAAATTCAGTCTTAACTAATGTTATTTTAGACAATGGTAGTCATCGAAGTTTTATTTCATCTCGATTAGTTAAAGAATTAAAATTAAAGCCAATACGCTACGAAAGAATAGCTATTTTTGCTTTCGGAAACAAAATAGCACGTGAGAAGGAATACGGTATCGTTTCATTGACGTTGCGCAATAGGGATCAAAGTTCGAAATCGTACGAGTTAGAAGTTGTCATAACGGAATATATATCTAATTTGTCCTTGAAAATTCCTGATGTATCTATTCGCAATGCGTTGAAGGAAAGAGGTTTACCTTTGGCTGATTCATTTTCTGGCGACTGCCAGACGGAAATGCGATTCATTTTGGGATATTGTTTATGACGAGAGAGTAAAGTTAAACGAAAACATTACTGCGATAAATTCTTGTTTCGGTTGGTTACTAGCGGGAGTGGAAGGAAGTAATAAATTAACTAATAATTATGAAAATGTATGTTTAGTCATGGACTCTTCTTCCATTTTGTGCGATTTAAAAAAATTTTGGGAAATAGAAGAATTTCAGTCAGACAAACAAAACTTTTCTGAATGAATGGACAAGCAATTGATTGAAAAAATTTGAAAATTCTCTGGAATTTAATGGGGAAAGGTACGTTTTGTAGATTGATGTGGAAGGAAAACTTGGGACCTGCAGTTGGGTTGAATTCTAATTATGAGGTTGCGAAAAAGCGTTTTGATTCGTTAAAAAGCACAAACTAAATAAAAATCAAGAAATTTATGACCAGTATAAAAACAAATTATATCGGATCAGTTAGAATGTCAGATTGTGGGAAAATGTGTTAATGAAGATAAAAATTTAGGATATTATATGCCTCACAGAGCGGTAATTAGGGATGACAAGGAAACAACTCGAGTTAGAATTGTTTATGACTGTAGCAGTAAAGCTAATGAAAATAATAAATCTCTTAATGAGTCTCTAGAATCAGGAGTAAATCTTTATGCAAATTTATTGGACATAATTCTTAAATTCCGAGAATATCAAGTTGCATTTTGCGGAGATTTAGAGAAAGCTTTTCTTATGATAGAGATTGCGGAGGAAGATAGAAAATACCTTAAATTTTTGTGGTTTTCCGAAGAGGTAGGTCATTCAACCGAATCTCTCCATTTAAATCGTCTCCCATTCGGTTTAACTACTTCGCCATTTTCCTTGGCTTGTGTTTTGAAATTTCACATAAAGAAATTTAAGGAACTTCATCCAAAATGTTGACATGTTAAATTCTTTTCTTTATGTTGATGATCTCTGCTATGGAGCCAATACCGTTCAAGATGCTTATCATTTAACATCTACGGCAATAGAGATATTAAAAGCAGCGGGATTTCATTTGAGGAAATTAAAAACTAATTGTCCGGAATTGTATAAACTTTGGAATGAAAACGGATATGAGGAAAATACTGACCTCGGGCAAGGAACAGGTTTCTTGGGATTGAAGTGGGATCCGATTGAGGATAAAATTAAATTAGATTTAAGAGATGTTAGGGATTCCATTGATGCTAGAATCACCAAGCGTCACGTTTTGAGAGTTATTTCAAAGATATTTGATCCATGTGGACTGATCAGTCCCTTTGTAATCACTGTGAAAATTCTTCTGCAAGAGATGTGGGAACGTGGTCTACAGTGGGATGAAGATTTGCCAAGTGACCTACAAAATAAATGGAGAACCTGGTGTTCTGAACTTTGTGAACTTGAATCAGTATCTATTGAAAGAAGGTTTTTTGAAAGTGTAGAAATAAGTGAAGTTTCTCTTCATGTGTTTTGTGACGCCAGTCCCAAGGCATATGGGGCTGTTTGCGTTCCTAAGGTACGTGAATTACAATGGCCAAATCAAAGTGAGCTTTATAATGTCAAAAGTAAAGTTGCTCCTTTAAAAACTTTGACCTCTTGCAAGATTAGAGTTAATGGCAGCTCTCCTCGCTGCACGTTTAGGAAATTATTTACAAGGTCTATTTCCTAATTTCGCGAAACAAATTTTCTTTTGGAGCGACTCTCAAAACGTCATCTTCATTGGTTGAAAAGGATCTTCTAAACAATGGAAACCATTTGTCGCCAACAGAGTAGCTCAAGTGCAGTCGCTGACTCTACCAGAGTGTTGGAACCATTGCAGTGGCTCCGACAATCCCGCAGACCTTACTACTAGAGGAGAATCGGCTAGGAGGATCTTTACAAGTTCTCTGTGGTGGTCAGGCCCTGTTTGGTTGTCTAAACCACGCTTTACTCGTGGCCTCTTCAAGAATCGCTACATGATTTTAATGACATTCTGTGATGAACGCGTTATAGTGAAAGAGCGACGGAACTGCACTGGTTTAATTCCATGGTAACCAGTTCAGCTAATGAAAACTTACCTTATGTCGTCGTTACTGGACGTTAATGACTATCAGCGAATTAAGTAGATTACTGCGTGTTACTACTTGGCTTGGATTAAAGGTTTGTGCACAATTCTAAACCTAATTCTACAAAATTAAATGGACCTATATGTGCTCCAGAACTCGAGCAAGCTTTGCGTTTTTGGATCAAAGCTACTCAATTCAAACATTATAGTACAGAAGTTACCCAACTTCTTTCGAAAGGAACTATCGATAAGAGTTCACGCATATTTAATTTGAATGCTGAACTTGATGATAATAACTTACTTTGTTTAAAGGGACGTTTACAGTTTTCATGTAACGATATGCGAGCTAAACATCCTTGGCTTCTTCCATCTAATGATAAATTTGTGGAACTACTTATCTGTGATTCTCATACTAAAATGTGCCATTTAGGTGTTGATGCAACTTTAACACATTTACGAGAACAATTCTGGATTGTTAAAGGTCGTCAATTTGTGAAAAAAGTGTTAAATAACTGTCTGATTTGTAGACGATTCAGAGTGAAATCTGGAATGCAGGTGGTTGCCCCTTTACCGCCTGATAGAATTCAAGAGCATCCACCATTTGATGTATGCGGTGTGGATTTTCCCGGACCATTTTTTGTTCGTGATTTTAATTCAAAGTGTTATTTACTTATATTCAGCTGTGCAGTGACAAGAGCTATCCACTTAGAAGTAGTTCTTAACATAAGTGCTGATTCCTTTTTGTTAGGATTCCGACGATTTGTTTCTCGTCGAGGATTATGTTCCACTATATATTCTGATAACGCCAAAGCTTTTAAAAAAGCAAATAGTGAATTGAAAAAATGGTGGAATCAGATAGATAATGATCAAGTTAAAAATTTTAATTTGTTTGCTTCTAAAGGTATAGTTTGGAATTTTATATAGTTGAAAAAAGTCCATGGTGGGGAGGTTTCTGGGAGAGACAGATACGGACGGTTAAAACCTGCTTAAGAAAATTGTTGGACGATCCTCTCTCTCTTTGAAGGAATTGGAAACTGTTTTTTCGGAAATTGAAGCTCTGGTTAATTCCAGGCCTATCACGTATCTGTACAACGAACCCTCAGAACCCTCTCCACTCACCCCATCTCATTTTCTTATTGGTAAAAGATTGGTGTCTTTACCTGTAATAAAACATAAAAAGGAAAATTTAAATGTTAGTAGGAATTCTTTGGTAAAGAAATATAAATATCAGCAAACACTTTTGAATCACTTCTGGAACAGGTGGAGAAAGGAATATTTACTTAATCCAAGATCAGCTTATATTTCTCCACAACCAGGTAAAATAGTTTCATTTAAAGTGAATGATATTGTTTTGATTAATGATGAGCGTTATCCCAGAAATATGTAGATGATGGGAAAAATTTTAGAGCTATATCCAGGAAGAGATGGAAAAGTTCGTTCTCTTCTTATTCAGACTCCTAAAGGACAAATAAGACGCTCAGTACAACTTGTGTATAATTTGGAAATTAATCCTTAATTGTGTTAGTTTAATTGAGTTGCAACCTGTTAATGTTCTATCTGTGTATTAATTATAGTTTAATTGTGCTTATATTTTAATGCTTGATATTTGAACAATTTTCTTTGGAAGTTAAAAGTGTAATTGGTTTTTGTATGTTAAGTCACTGATAATTTTGAAGCTTTGTATTTGATATAATATGCTACTTATATTTTTATTCTTGTAATTTTAAATGGTTCCTGAATGTAAATTTAGTTGAAAATTCAATGGTAAGTGAACTCAAGTGAGTTCAGGTGGGGAGTATTACGTATTTCCGGAGTCATTCTGACTAGAGGGCGCTGCGTTCGTCCTAATAGTCAGTGGCAGGCAGGATACTAAAGCTGTAAGACGTGGAAGGCAGAGATGCCTAATAATATATCTCTAATTGATTGAAATTTTCGTATATTTTCTTGTAAATAAATGTTGTTATTGTTAACAAAACCTCTTATTATCTCTTGGATGCACCTTTAGTCTCACAGAACCATTAGATGCAAAATATGGTTCTGAATCAAGAAAATATCACTGCCAATAGGGAAGAAAGTGATAAGAGAGATTGCTGAGAATGAAAAAAACTTCAGTTGATGGTTTTCTTAGAATTATCAACATGGCAACTACAGGACTTCAACAATGGAATTTTGTAACTGAACAAGAAGTTGTCTATTTAAAATTAAACACAAAGTATTAACACAGAAAATGAAGAAACTTAAACAACCTATATTGAAAGGCATGTTTAATAAAATAAATATTGAACAAACATCATAAATGCTTCAATGTTTCATAAATAACTATTTCATATTTCTAATTTTATAATTTCTACATGTCATCTTACTGGAGTTAAACTGATGATCTAAACTCCAGAATCGCCGAAGTAGAACATCTCGTAGTTGCTTTGAACATTTGGAGCATAGTTTGCTGTCTTGTTACATGTGTTAGTTTTATTAAGGTTTATTTTATTCACAAAAATACTTTTGGCATTAGGAAAAGAAAAATATGTGTTAGTCAAAATGAATAATGTTGCTGAAATTTTAAGCATTATGAGAGAGCACCTAAATACACCTATGTATCATATGCAACGAATAAAATGCTGTAGTGTATTTGAAAAAATTTCAAGAAATTTGACCATAAAGTTTCGTTAATTAGCCTTTAGGATCATATTGCAAACTCTCATAATTTGATTAATATTACATCCATTTTCCTCTATTGTTAAATCAAAATTTTTTAAGAAGGAAATCAAATTCTTTTATTACATCAAAACATCTGTAATTCATAATGACAGTTTTTGCTAAGAAATATGTGGCTTTTATACTCAAAACTATTATAATTTAATCTGAATTATTTAAATTTTAAATTAATTCAAGTAAACAAGATTAGCTTTACTGAAAAATGCTGTGGCGTTATGTTTAATAAAATAATACACATATTAAAAAAACAATCGTTTATTTCTCAACAAATAATACAAAATAATTTTGTAATGTACTCTTGCATTCAATATAGCTCATTACTTCAGCATAAGATAATCATTACATAGTAATGTACTATGCTTAAATGAATAACGGTGCAAACCAACTTAAAACGTTGATTTTTCATGCAAACTTCACTATAATTCACTGCAAAAATAATGCTCTTGTAAAAAATATACACATCTGTCATCAACACTTCATAATATTCATCAATATATAAAATACTGATTCAATAAATATTTAGTCACCGGGCTGCTTAGCGAGAATGTTAATTTGTATTCACTGAATTTCAATTTAAAATATTGAAATTATATTAAAAATAACTTAAAAAGTTACCCAGAATATTATATTGAATTAAATCTTATATATTGAATTTATGGTTAGAATGTCCTGATTACATGGTTTTTATAAAAAATAATGCTTATGTCAGAACGCTATTTAATAAATAAATAAATTACTCATTTTTTTTCAAAAAAATTATATCATTGTGCTTCTGAAGTTAGGAAAACATTTTCAGTGAACTCCTCTAAAATGCATTATAAGTGAATTTACTGTTAGTGAAACAGCTTGGTCCCAAAATCTGTGTATTACACAACACATATACTAAATGCTTTGATTTTTTTAAATGATGAAGGAATTTTTGAAAATAATTAGCATGCATGTAGAGATGAATAGCATAAATTTTATGAATTCTATAAGAATTTAAAAAATTTAATGTAGGCAAATATAACTTGCTTGTAATCTAAAAATGAATGTTTCTGCTGTAAGCAAAATGGTTATGTAAGAGAAAATATAGCTGTATGGTTAATGCAAAACATTTGAAGTGCACTCTTGTGATATATTGATAGTGAGTAGGCAACAGTTTTGAATATCGCAAAATGTCAAAAATTCATGCACTCTCCAATATCTGTATGGTAAAATTTAAAAAAAAAAATCAAGTACCTGTGTTCAAATTAAAAGGTTAAGTACCTGAGTAACGCAGGAATTTGAAATTTATGTATTTTACTTATCATTTAGAGTCGTCATTGTATATTTTAATCCCTTTTTCAATTGTTTAAATTAAATTTCTAAAGATAAGATAACTGAGATTTATTATTGGTTTTTAACAAGGTGTTTTGAATTATAGAAAAAACCTGAGAAGTCCAGTTAATTGTTGATATCTTTCATGCTACAATTTCGGATGTAGATGTTTTATAAAAATCGGTGAGAAAAAATGTACTACATTGCTGTATATAGGTTTCAGAGGAATGTTGTTGCCTTATTTTCAGCATTTTAATGTTTTTATATTTTTTTAAAAAGGCTGTTATAAATGTAAATATGCTTCAATGGATATTTAAATTAAGTGTCTTTATAATAACTATTATTCATTTAAAACCGATTTCCATGATTAAAATTAAACACTTTTTGTTGTCATTAATGTTAATCACTATTTTGTTAGAAAAAATAATTCTAAATGGTGGGAATCATGCATATTCTATAAATTTATCCCCATCAGTAGATGTCTCTTGGTTGATGTCCTCTTCATTATTATTTCTATCCTGTACTAGTAACTGGAACTGACGATACAGACGCTGTTGAACAAAATGGTACAGTTCATATTCACCAGTTAAATTGGCACGCAATAGGGCTTTTACTTCTTCTTTCACATGTTCTTTGTTCAAATTCTGGTTACGATGTACACCTAAATAAATAAATTTAATGAAATTAAACCTTCTCTAACTTAAATTTTTCAAGTAAAATCCGGAAATTTTTATATAGAAAAGTCTTATATCATCAACCGAAATTTAAAATTCAACTTTGAATAAAAGACAGAATTCAAACTTAAATTAATGTTACGTTTATAAATTAATTTTTACCTGATTTTCTAAATTGTTCTTGGTCTAAGATCGAGCTTTTAAATTAAAATCATGTGTTCACTGAATTGTTCTCACAACAATTAACTGGTATCTAATAAATGATTTTATGCAATAATGATTGTTAGGAAATGCTATAGGAGAAATCTTAGTTTGTACTGAGTGTCAGGAGGGAAATTTACTTTCTGACGTAGATGAAACTTCATACAGCAGACAGTGAACTTCTTAAGGTACACAATTATATTGAAACTAATGTGAATAAAATTGTATTAGTTATTACTTTGATTACTGCTGGGGCTGAATGCCCAATAAAAACAAATTACTCATTTTTGCAAACATTTATATAGTACTTCTGAAGTTAGGAAGACATTTTCAACGAATTCCTCTAAAAAGCAATATAAGTGAATTCAATGTTACTTAATTTTATAAAAAGGTTAAACAACTTGGTCCCAAAATCTGTGTATCGCACAGCATATATACTGTTGCGTGCATACGGGTTCGTAATAGATTGATCCGATGATAGGTTGATAAAATTTATTTTATTAAATTTTATTATTTATTTAAATTTATTATTATATTACACTTTAGAATTCTTGAACTTTCTATAGAAATACTCGAACAGGTGTTCACAGAAAACGGAGTACAAACAGTAATTACACTTCAAACTGCTAAGAACGTTGAACACAACGTAAAAATAGCAGATCTAAAAGGTGAAGCTTTCACTACTCCGCAGTCGCTTTAAACTAACAGCTCGCAACAGTAACTGAAGGCACCTACCTGACTTGACTTGACCATAAGCTGGATGGAGTAACGGGTGCGAAGGTTCCTTTGCTCCGTATGTGTTACAAATTATGTTGTAAAAATTCATCAGCTGAATAGCAAGAATGCATTTATTAGAAACAGCAGAAGAAGGTTGTACAAGTCTGTCCTTCGTCCTGGTCTCCTCTGCGCATCTTTTATTTGAGGCCAAGCTGCTAAATCCAAACTTCACCAGCTACAGATTCTTCAAAACAAGACTTTTCGAATGATTGTTAACGCTTCTTGGTATATCTGGAACTCTGTCATCCATTAGACCTTAAAATTCATTATTTAGACATTCATTACGCCATTAAGTTCTATCTTTCAGTCAAACACCTTCAAAATCCAATTAGAAGAAAGAGAAAATTCTCAAAAGTGGAGAAAATTCTCTAAGGAGGTCTACTTTAAAATTTGTGATATTCAAGCAAAGGCAATGTCAGGAAAAAAAAAAAAAACTTGAAACAGATTAGAGATGTGGATCCGAAGTCTGGAAAATTAGGTAGGAAAGATAGATGTGGAAAAGATAATTAAATGATCCGAGTAAAAAATTTGCAGGATAAGTGCATTTTTCCAGTGGAAAGTGACTGTGTTTTTGATTACAGATTGGCCTCAAATAGAAGATGCATAGAGGAGAGCAGAACGAAGGACAGACTTGTGCAACCTTGTTTTTGATGGAGAGCTTGCTTTGCGTCCAAGAAGGGAGAACATATTGCAAACAGTACAATTACATTTTTTATGAACTTTCTCGAAATGTTTTTGAAAGCAAGCTTGTTGTCGAGATTTACTCTAAGACAGGTAGTACTGCTAGTCCATTCTATTGTTTCGCGAAAGAGGAGGAGGGTACTTAGAATTCTATTGGAATTTTCTTTTCGGAAGATAATTGCGGCAGATTGTTATTTGTTGACAGCTATGCGCCATTCAGTATACCAATCTTCAAGAGCAAGAAGCAGCTTTGGAGGAGATTTCTAACGTATTTGAAGTTGGCTGCTTGAGTCAAGATGACAGTATCATTCGCAAAAAGAGCAAGCTGAATCCTGGGATCGCGAGGGATGTCATGAGTGTACACATTGAAAAGAAGGGCCTAAGCATACTTCCATGTGGAACACCGGCTTAGCTCTGGATGCTCTCTCTCCGGTCTTATGTAGTTTTCACCCGGCCACAGAGATATTTCTAGTACTTTCTGCTTCTCGAGATTAATGGAAGGCATACGAGGGCGGAATACATTTACACATGTAATCAGCTATTAACTTACAATACCTATTACGGTAATACAGGGACCGGACGAAAATGTCGCCAAGTGTGGGGACTTTTAGTAACTTCTCGCAAAATTTAGCCACAAAAATTAATCGCCAAAACCGTTGCCAGTTTGGCGCTATATCGCCAAATTAGGGAGATAGCCATTTACTCAATGTTAAATAGACTTACCCATGTATTCTTATTTTTCCGGTAGAGCATCCTTCCTGTAGATATTCATGTTACATTATACAGAAAAATACAGCATTTTCATTAAAATTAGCCGTATATGCACAAAATTCGCAACAATACTCAATGCTTTGATCTCTATTAAATGATGAAGGAATTTATGAAAAGAACTATCATGCATGTAGAGATGAATAACAAGTTTTATGAATACTTAGGTAGTTGAAATTTACGTATTTTATTTAAGATTTGGAGTCATCATTATATATTTTAATCACTTCTTAATTATTGAAATTAAATTTCTAAAGTGAAAGTAAGAAACTTGAGATTTATTATTTGTTTTTAAGAAGGTGTTTTGACTTAAAGGAAAAACTCAGATGTTTAATTATTTGTTGATATCTTTCATGCTACAATTTCTAATATAGAAGTTTTGTAAAAATCTATGAGAAAAATATGCTATATTGCTGTATATACGTCTAGAGAGAATGATAATTGCCTTATTTTCAGCATTTTTATACTTTTATATTTAAAAAAAATGTGTGATCGATCCTGCATTGCATAGCATATTGAACACTGAACACTTTATCATGCATATGCTGATTAGTACATTGCCACTGTGCCTTTCAAAAAAGTAATTCTAATATAAAACGATAGAAAACTTATAAGATTTGGAGAAACGTTTAACTTTTGCGACAAGAGTTTCAGTTTAATGCTAAGTCATGGTCTAAAAATTTAACACTAAATCATGGGTGGAAAGAACTGATTCCTGATATTAAATATGTCTGATGAGAATACCACATCAGTTCTTTGTACGGCCTATTAAATACACACATATTTTGTTGAACTTCATTTAAACTTATTTGTTCGAATTATTCTAACTTAATTAACCGATCACTCATGGAAAGTTGAATATTACATCAAAAATTGCAAATTTTGAAATTAAATATCCCGGTCCATTTTTATCGTTAAGGGGTCAAATTTCTTATAATTTTACTCGTATTTTTTCATAACGAGTATAAAACTTTCCCAAATATAAGTACTATAAGTACAGGAACCGGTAGACCGCATTAAAAGTTAGATTTCGTTATTTGTCTGAAATTATCATTATCTTTTTAATTTGGCATCGCCAAAACATGAATATTTTCGTCATTTAAAACACTTTTACATCTAAATTCTGTAATTGGAGTGCATAACTATACAACCAAAGATCGCGAAAATAAGAGCGGATAAGGACTTTTAAGCAGGTATGGGATTGGGTATATATATACGTTTGGTACTGTCGATTGCAAGAAAAAGAAAGTTGCACAGCTAGATGTTATAGCAGTTCCATATACGAAATTTCAATGTTCTACAGCTGATCGCTTTTGAGTTACGCGAGATACTCATACATACATATATACATACATACTCTTTTTATATAGATATAGGCTATAGCAGAGTCTATATATACATCTTTTTTATTTCCAATAGCAAGTGCAAAGGACAACAGATATCTTTAAAACAAAAAGAATGAGCATAAAGATAGATAGACATCGGTTAATCCGTCACCTTAAGTCTGGCAATCCAATATCGCTCCCATAAGAAAGCATGAGGTAGAGCAGAACATGAGGCACACTCAGAAACATCAAAATCCTTTCCAGAGTCGCACAAGCAGGATCCATATTCAAATTAATTTTATAAAGGTGTTTTCGGAGACAATAATGGCCAGAAAATAGCCGTAACAGTGCCACCGATTTATTACGAGGTCATTCAGGAATATCTTGAATATGACTGAACCAGGGCTTTTGACCACTTCCAGCGGAAACGTTCCGAGAAAAAGAACTCATTAGTGTCCTTTAAATTATTGTCTCAATAGATTGGTTGACCAGTTTGTGGCTATTTTGTATTAACTGTAAAACTATTTAACTGTAAAACAGAAACTCCTTTTTTTTTTTTTTTTTTTTTTTTTTTTTTACCAGAAAGTCAGCGGTCTCATTCACCTCGATTCCGCAGTGGGACGGGAGCTACTGCAAAAGAACTGTTTTATTACAATCTGGTAAACATGCCAAAAGACTGATACAGTCGTCAACATCTTTCGTACGCGATGGGCTATAGCAGAGTCTATGGCCTGAAGAGCTGCTCTTGAGTCCGAGAAAATCACCACTTTAGAAAAACATTCCAATCAATTTTGCAGTTGAGGAAGCTAATCGGATAGCAGAGATTCCTCCGTCGAAAGCTTACATGTGAGCACCAACAGGTAAGTAAACTGAGAAAAAGCTCGCAAAAAAAAAAAAAAAAAAAAAAAAAAAAAAAACACCGGCTCCTGCTTTGGCGCAATCTTCCACCCTACCCTAGAACCACTTGTGTAGACCCTGAGCTAATGTGAAACCGGGTAATGATTATTCATAGTTCCTCTCGAAGTCTTTAGATTACGATCAGTCTCAGTAGAGATATGATCCACATGATCAGACCAGGAGTTTCTATCTAATAATTTTCTTCTATAACAGCAGAGCACGTTTCTTAATACCTAGACCGAGAGGCCTTTTATTTGAGCATGACAATAAATAATCAATAGAAGTGGATTTAACTGCTCCAGTAACGAGGCGCAAGGCTTGATTTTGAAATTTTTCAAGTGAATCAATTATTTTCTTAGCATTAAGTTATGACAGGCAATATATAAGCATTATAAGTTTAATTTAAGGTAGATCTGGATCAACCTCATTTGGATCCAGATGAGAGTCTTTTTTATACCCAACTGATGACGTCTTTAATATGCGAATTCCACGAAAGTTTTCTGTCCAAGGTTACACCTAAATATTTGATCTTTTCTGAAGTCGGGATATTACAGTTTTTGTAAATTACCTGTGGATAGAAAGGCTATGTGATAGAGAAAAAGACTGCGCAAATGTCTTATTTAGGTTATGTTTTCATATTAGTTTCCTCAAATCAGTTCTCTAAAATAAACATTGCTTTATTTCAATAGTCTTCAGCCACAGACTTTGGAGAATCAGTCCATACTTGCATACATATATACATACATGCACACATACATACGTACAGATGTCACGAAAATATCTTTTTGAGTCTATTTTACGATACATTTTGGAAAAAAAAGAGTCCTTTATTTTGTCGGTACAAACAGATGTCACGCAAAAATAAATAAATAAAAATAAAAATAAGAAGGAATATTTTTTTGAAATACGATTCCTGAAATTTTTCGCGATTACAACACTTCGTTTACTCCTTACAAGAAAGTAAAAATGTCCTGCCAATGAATAGGTGACAGTTTTGAGTCTAGTAAAAGTTATTTTTGATATTCAAAGTTTAAAAAATATATATGAAAATACAGAGTGGTGGCAGAAAGATAATGGAAATTATTAGATTAATTTGATAAGAGTAGAGACGTGAGAATAGGAAAGGACGAAGCAGAAAAGAGTAAGGAGGAACAACAGCCTTACTGCATTTAGAAATATTACTCGACTACATGGGTCAATAAAAGTGTATTTTAATTTAGAATATCACAGTTTGGGCTGTGCTTAGAATAAAATCTGAAAAAATTTCAAAATGTTTCTCTTCCCAAAATGTATATTTAATTGTGATTCTCCAGGGAGAAACCAAAGAATGTTACCTACAAAAAGACCTTATTTAAATAATATGCTATGCATCATTCATTTAAATCCTTTAAAGAGTTTATTTTTCATTATACTCATTATTCAGTAGTAATTTGAATTTCTATTCGTATCCGCGCATTGGTTAGCATAGATATACGTTGCATAAGACTTTCAGAGGAATAAGTCTGAAGCTGTATTTTAGGAGATTTAGGTAAACTTACCTAGGCTATGGTAAATTTTAAATGCTCCTCCAAAAAATTGAGGCAGAACTGTTTCTAGTACTTGCAGCGTCACATTCATTTGTTCTAGTGTACCAACTACTGCATAATACTGTTCTATATTCCGTTTGGCCTTGTTTAGTGCTCCAGGATCATTAAGTAGTCTGAAGAATAAATATGAGAATAATGATATATAATGTGAACAATATAGTATAATTATCTTGATTTTTGAAGAAAACTATAATTTTTTTTTCATATAAAGTCTATATTTTGCAAACATTTAACAAAGCAGTTTTTCAGAGATACCACTGAATTTCAGTTAATCTTTGTATAAATTAATTCAAAATAAGAAATATTTTAACTTCCTGAAGCTGAAGTTTTTAGAATCGTTAATTATTTCATATGCAGCACATTTTAAATAACTTTAGAGTAATTTTGAATGAAATACAGAGAATGTTTCATTTGTGAAATAGATATTAAATAAGAAATTTTTAAAACAAAAAAGGAACTTATGCATACAATAGAATCCCCATTATAAGCTGAACTCTTGACTAAATTGTTGTACAAGTAAACAAGCAGATATATTATTGGTTTGAAATATTTACAACCCCTTTTGAAATTTAAAGTTCTTGCCATAGAAATGGTATAAAACCAATAGTTTTTAGTTTCAAAGATTTAGTCTGCATTTAGCATGTAAAGACATGCTTTTTACATGTAAATTATGTAGATATAAATAAATGACCCTTCTCCCAAAAAACCAGTAGTTAGGTAAATGAAGAGAGAATATTTCACAAATATTTCTGTAATATTAAGTACTTCTGAAGTAAATGGGGGGGGGAATTGATAACTGGCAGTGTCAGAGCTTTTGCTGCCTCTAAACTACACAACTTCCAATACACACCAACTATGCTATGGAATGTATCCTGCTTTATTATAATAGCCAACACATATTATAATCAACAGCTTGTAATGTGTTTATGTGTTAAATCAAATGTTATTCTGCGTATTTTCTATTAACAAAATTGTCTGAGACAGCTTTTCTCAAACATTTTCAAGTGGGGACTGCTTTTATAAATCAGAATGTTCTGCAGATCATCTTACATGTATCCTCTTCTAAAGTCATTTTTTAGCTTATGTTACTAGCATACTAAATTTTTTTATTACAATGAATTAAAATCCATTTAATTTTATGTTATTAATTCGTTATATTTTTGTTGTTTGACTTCTGAATCATTATTGTACAGTTCACCGTATTCAGTTTTCACAGGTAATGAGGTCCAAAAATTAACCATACTTTCTGCCTAGAATTTTATTTTAAGTCCGGTGTTATTCAAGAATTCAATTAACTGTTTTCTTTCATTCAATGATAGTTTGTTATTTTCAAAATCAACAGCTTGTAATGTGTTTATGTGTTAAATCAAATGTTATTCTGCGTATTTTCTATTAACAAAATTGTCTGAGACAGCTTTTCTTAAACATTTTCAAGTGGGGACTACTTTTATAAATCAGAATGTTCTGCAGATCATCTTACATGTATCCTCTTCTAAAGTCATTTTTTAGCTTATGTTACTAGCATACTAAATTTTTTTTATTACAATGAATTAAAATCCATTTAATTTTATGTTATTAATTCGTTATATTTTTGTTGTTTGACTTCTGAATCATTATTGTACAGTTCACTGTATTCAGTTTTCACAGGTAATGAGGTCCAAAAATTGGTGGAATTCAGTGGAAAAGACTACGGACCGAGAAAAATTCGTTATATTTATCATTTAAAATAAGTTTCAAACTGTGATCTCAGAGTTTCGAAATGCGAACATACGTCATTGCATAATTCTTTTTCAATACAGTAATCTCTTGCCGAACACGGACTTTCGGAAAGCGATTTAGCGCATACGCGTTTCCTTAGTTGTCTCCATTTAATTTGCCAACGCGAGAATTTCAATTATACACGGTATGCTGCAGAGAGATGGCCGCATTGCCATAATTCTCTTTAATGATTGATTTGAAAATTCATTCATTAAAGAAATATTACTTAGATAACTAAACCTGAGCTTTGCAGTTCTCCTAATTCTCGATAATACTTCAAGGCACGGTACTGAATCCCTCCCAGCATTGCATCCAAATGTAGAGGTTTTATTCCTTCCACCGAACACCACTTTCTTAATCCAGCCAATGGATCAAGGAATCATTAAAGCATTCAAAGCCTATTACGTCACGCATGTTTGTATCTCTGCAAATAAAGTAACAGGCGTAGGAAAGCACATTAGACTACTTTCATTTTGGAAGCTATTTGATATAAGGCACTGCTTAGGAATGATTCAACTCGCATGGCAATAAGTAAATTCATCAATTATGAATGCTTGCTGGATCAGAGCTAACCATAGGTTGTCAACAATTTTAAAGGATTTTCATCGATTGAAAATAATGCGAAGGAAGTTGTATAAATTACAAAAGCAACACGCGACGAAAGATTTTTATATACGGAAGAAGGAGAAATTAAAGAATTAGTCGAGAATTACGACTGTAAAATGATAAATGTAATATTGGATGATTTTGTAATACCTGCCAATAGTGAAAGCAGCGATGGAGAAGAAAATAAAGAGCCTTTAACGTACAAAAGAAGTTAAATGAACTGATGAAAATAGGGCACAGGAGCTGTCTGATTTTGTAATGGATATTGAGTGAAATGAAGAAAGAAGAGGTCAGTTTATGAGATTTAGTTAAAAACTTTGCACTCCTTACCGGAAACATTTAATGAGTTGCCTCAGGTATTGTCTCAATAAAAAATTACCAGCTATTTTAAAAAACAACTGTATCATATACATACGTTTTTTAGGGTCGCATATAACCTAACCTTTCAGACTGTGCGCCAGAAAATTCACTACCACTTTCAAGGAGTTAATTCAAAGAGTAATAGCAGTCTTTTCAATTATAATTTTATTTCATTTTTTCCTTTTTAAATACAAAAATATTTAGGTTTGTATAAATTATACATAGTTTCTTAACTATACGTATCGCGTTTTTTCCATAGAACTTTGCGGAAAGCGATTTTACCGTACAGGCATGACTTTACCCCCTCGTTGGACATGATATAACTTTCTATTAAGAACGATTCTGAGGTTGGAAATACTGTCACAATGGGTTAATAACGTAAGCCTCGCGTTCCGCAAGTGTTTACTGTAACCATATAATTCTCTATTAAAATGATTCTAAAGTGGAAATGGTGACAATGTCCTGTTTCACATAATTAGCTCTCAAACTAAGTTTTCTCTCAGACATCATTATTTTCGCATCGGCATTGAGAACAGTCTAAGAAAAACCTTGTAGACAGATATTTAATTTCGAGAATACATCTGAAATACACTTCCCTCCATAAGTTAAGGTACAACATGTTTTTTGTGCCTAATTTGAGAATGCAGAATTTGAGACACAGCATAAAAACAAGAAATTTACAGGACATGCTCTTAAACAGTTCTGTTATGTAGCGAATTTAATATAATTAAGTGAATCATAAAAAATCAAAATTTTAATTTGTAAATATTCAAAATTTTAGCTACACAACAAGTTTGGATATATTCTTTTATTTGGCTTATTAATTCTAGTGTAATATATTTCGGCAATTCGAGTTTACGCGAACTGCGTCTTCAATCTTGGACACTCAGACAATGGATATACGTGAATTTTCATGTAATAAACTCAGTTTTTCATGATAAAAATTAATTTGATTATTATTATTATATTATTAATTAATCAATTAGTATTTAATATCATTAGTTGCAGAAAAATTAGCTCTTTAATTTGACATAACTTTCGTTTCCCTAACTTTAATTGCATTTTAGTTATGAGCTTTAATTAATAGTTTTTTTTTCCGTTGTCATTGTGATTTCTCCTTTGGGGGAAGAAGTGCCCTTTTTCCGGTAAAATAGTCGTTTTTTCGAGTTTTCAGCGTTCCTTCGTTGGGACTGCTTACAAGGGTTGTTGAAATTCCAAGTTTTCCCCTTCGCTAGGCGTGGTTGTTTGGCGACTTGGAATTTCCGTTGGGGTTTCAAAGTGGTGGCTTTGGCGAGTTTGTTAACACGAAGGAATGCTGAAGTTGCAACTGGTTTAATTTTTGGCGAGGAGTGAGTTGTGCCAAGTTGGTATTCCGGCGCTCTCCCTTTTAACGGGCTGTTTTGTGGGACAAGGACACTTTTTGAACTTTTCACTGGCAGCTGGAAGTTGTGCTAGCCGACAGCTGATTTTGTTTTTGGAATCATGTTCGAGAGAATGAAAATTTCGGAAGGGCCATTGTTAGGCCGTTGCTTCTCGAAACTTACCTAATGATATTGCTCCAGTAGCCGACTCTCGTGGCCTTCGGCGCGAGAAATTCTCGGCATCTCTCTTATGTGTAAAAATGGAATGAATTAAATTATATTACCAAATACCTTCAACCTCGATATTAGCTACATTTTTCATCGTAGTACTCATGTTTTTTGTAATAAGTAATCAAGTGCTTCCAACCCTGGGGTAACCGTCGTGAAGAATCTGCTAATGCACCGTAACCAGAGAGTAACGTGGATCCACATTTAATGCCTTATTGCTTCCTTTAACTTGCAAATGGATGGAATTTCATCTTAACCCTATTCTGAGTCGAATTTAACAAAATTATTATGGTTTCCTGCTTTCATCGTTGCCTTGCTTACCAGTTTGGACATTCATCTTGCATGGTGAACTGCCGTTTACAAGATACATCGCCTGATTCGTAATAACAGAGGATTGCGACTTCATCAGAAAAACGACGTCCATTTGTTCGGGATGGTTGTCCGTCTGGATGTAAAGCTAAGTTATTTTTCTTTGCTTAACTATTCGAGGAAATAGATTTTTGCAGTTAAAAGGATTGAATTAATTTAATTTGTTGAACCTTAATTTTTTTTTTTGTAGTTAATAAATATAACCTAACTTTATAGAAATAATTTTTTTTTGTGTGTGTCGATTAAGTAAAAGCATTAGATTGAACAAAGATTTATAACTTTATTTAATTATTGTAACTTAACTTAATTGTAAAAGGAAAATAAGTTCTTCATGAAATTATTTAATTGAATTTTTTTGGAGTTCCTTCATGGTAAGATTGATTTGTAATAGTACCAGTATCTGAGCATTTTTGCTTCTCTCAGGAGTAACT